ATAAAGCATCTCTTTGCACATGTCTCCTTCATTTGCTTAAGCTCCACCATCCTTGAGCCCATGAATCTCACCTGCTGGTGGGAAGGTCAACACTGACTTATGGAATTCAAACACATGCAATGTGATGGGTGCTGAGGGTTGAGAGAGTTAATTAACTCTGACTGTGGAGATAAAAAACAACTGGCCAAGGAGGTGCTACTTACCTGTACTTTAAATAATGAGTGTAACGGTGATCAGGAGAGAATTTTGGAAAAGAATGAACAAGATGAGGAAAGAATGAAATGAGATGGAGAACAACATGAAGAAAGTCAGCATGCAAGCGTGTGTCTGGTGGGGCTGAGGCTGAGAGCCCAGACTGGAGAAGAAGAGGGAAGAGAAGGAGACTGGAGAGTTGGAGAGATGGAGCAGGACAGCTTACAGAGGGCCTGGGATTCTAGACTAAGGAATTCAGACTTTACTCTTTAGGCAATGGAAAATCTTTGAAAGTATTCAGCAAGATGTAATTTTTAAAGATGTGCCATTTCCGGAAACAACTGGGGCACAGTATGGAGGGTTGATTGGAGAGGGGTGAAATGGGAGGCTGGGGGACCGAGCTGTGGGATTGACCCAAGCAAGAAATAATGAGGGATGAACTTAAAGAAGGCTAGGAGTCACAGACCAGAGGAGGAAAATGAGAAGCACTCTTAATACAATTGGCAAAATTGGAGGAAGGTGAAGAGAGAATGTCAAAACTGGTTTTGATGTCTCTAGCTTTGGTAACTAGGGTAATAATGAGGCTGGTAACCAAAATGTAAAACTCAAGAAATGGGGAAGCAACTGAGTGGAAAGATTAAGTTCAACCTCAGTTCTAGGAACTGAAAAAAACAATGCCCAGTCTCCCTGAACTTCTCCCCCAAGCCCCAAGCAGTATGCACCAGGGCAACTAAAATGGTCTCCTGTCTCTGGGCAGCTTTCTGATGGAAATACATGTAAAACCAGAAGGTGCAGCAGAAGGAGCAGAGCTAAGGCTGCTAGACTCATCACTGCCTCATTTCTGTTTTGTTTGAATTTGAGCAAATGCACTTAACCTAACATGATTCTGCTTCCTCCTCAGTAAGTGTGAATACTAAGAATAGGGTGTATATATAGCACTTTGCATGGCATCTAGAATGTGATGTTGAGCAAGAACTCGTTATTATAATCGTCACTGACATCATTACTAGTTTTCAGAGCCCTGGAGACAGGGCATTTTCACTATCATGTGGCTTGGATTACTGTAGGTTTATTAAGACAACCTGCCATCCTCTATCTACAACACATAGAGATTCTGGTTGATGTACCATGAAATGAAACAATATAGAAACTACAGCTCAGAGTGAGCCCTGTCATTTCAAAGAATGGCATTCCCTTTGCCCTTGTTGTCCCTGAGTTCAGGCTAGACTGTGCCCCCAATTTTGTGTGTTGCTGGCTCAGAAGGTGGAGTCCTATGGCAACACAACCTGCCTAGGCTTGGCCACAGTGTAGTCAGTTTTCTTTGTTCACTTATAGTATCAGCTCCCATTTCCTTGCATCTGCTCTAGAAAGGTACTTTTGACACAGTACTTCCAACCCAGTAAGACACATTTTAGACCTATTTTACAAAAGAGGAAGTTAGGATTGAGAGGGCGTAAGGAATATCTCAGGACACATAGCCGTTAAATGCAAACTGAGCCTGGCCCTTCCTCTGCTGGCCCAGCATTTTGGAGACTGTGGGCAAGGGCCAGAAGAGGAGCCAGGCTAGGAAGGAAACCCCAACTCCCTTCCCTTGTTTTCTAGATAGTATCCTTGGCACACCTTATAGCACTTGTCTGGAGTCTTTCAGGAATCATAGCCATCCAGAATCATAGACTCCCAGGTCTGAATCATCCCATCAGTGCTGGAGAACTTCCCACAGTGTCACTCACCCACCCTCATATTCATACAAGCTCTCATGAGCTCATGTCCCCCCACAACAGCCAGTCCTATCAGTCAGGGGACAATTCTTAGAACACATTCCCTTACTTTGTGCTATCAGTTCCCACCCATAACTTCTACTCACTAGCACAAGTTTGACTCCTTAGGATACAATAGAAACTGGAATTTTACCTTCTCTGTGTAATAGCCACAACACCCCCCCCCCCGTCTAGAGCAACAAGGACCCTAACATTCTTTCCTATGCTGTTGTAATCTGAGACTCTTTTTTTTTTTTGTCATGCAGACTATTTTTTACACACTTTACAGAAGGTTCCACACAGCCATCCACAGCTCTCTGTTCTTTCCTCTGTTCTTCCCCTGTCTCAGCTTTTCACAACCTCCCTGGGCATCCACTGATCTCTCCAGGAAATGCTAGAGAAATTCTCTTCTTCCCCAGAGCCCATTAGTGACTACAAATTCAGACTTGCACATCTGGGAGCTTCACCACTTTCTCAGTCAGCTTCTATTTTAGGGTGTCTGGTCCTTGGTTCCTATCAGTCTTCTCACTGAATTCTGAGAGGTCTAAGCAACTTACCTGCCCAGGCATATGGCTCTTCCTTCCCCATGGAATTCCACAAATGGCTGAATGTTAGTAAGAGGGGTCATGAACTCAGTCATAGTTTTTGCGGTTTCTTCAAGAAGGGCCTTCTCTTGGATTCCTCCACACTTTGCTTTTGCAATAAGCCCTACTCTCTTTCTACCGCCTGCTCCACACACCCCTCTTCCTTCCACCTAGGGAACAGACCTAGTGAAGGAGGGGTGTTCTCGAGGATGGAAGATCACCCCTAACCCTCAGCCTCCTTCCAACTGGGCCCAGTGCACAGGAAAGAGATTCACAAGGAAAAGGCTGTGGAGAGAACTCAGTTCTGACAGTGCCCATCATGTCAGGAGATATGCTTTTTGCTGTAATAAAACTTAAGCAAATCAGCTTAACAATAAGGAACAGGTAAGTAAAGCAGCTCAATAACTATATCCCTGTGTTTCTCCTCATCTCTCTGGGTAGACACCACTCACTGGTTATGCCTTTTGCCTCCACCCCCTCACCTTCATCACAGGTTAGCTGCCCAAGTGGATCCAAATGGAGAAACAACCTGTCCTCAGTCCCCTTGTTAAAAGCGAGGGACACTTTCCCAGGAACGATCAACACGTGCCACTTCCAGGCTATTTGATTAGAATTAGCTCATATTCTCATTCCCTAATTAGGTCATACTCTCATTCCTTAATCAAAGTCACTAGTAAGGGGAGGCTATAACCAGAATGGGTGAGCTGAACATAACCCACGACCCAAACCCTAGAAGTGCTTCCTGTATTCAGAGTCTGAAGGCATCAGTCACACAACAAAATCAGCTGCCATCAGCAAGTACCAAGTAAAGGATGCTGTGGGGCCAGCCAGAGAGAACATGTTCCCACAGGGCATGGAACCATGGCCTGCTGATGACACCTGGTCCCCAGCAGCTCCATCTGTGCAGTGCACTGTGGGTCAGAGACCAGGTAGCAATATTTGAGGGATGGGGTTCAGGTATCAAGATCTGAGGAAAATTGGGAAGATTGGAGTTGATAAACAGTCTTCTGTTAAACACAGTCAACTAACCTGAGAAATAAATATGTCACATCACACATTTTAAAACTTGGTATTAAAAGTTACACAAACACAGAGGTTCTTAAATTCATTCAAAGGGGAGGGTGAAAAACAATGGTAGTCTTTATAGAATGCTGTGAAATCTTGATCAAATTAATCAATCAAAATAGAATCATCTTAATAGCAAAAATTGTGTATCTATTATGACTGTGAAACCATCCTCACCAAAGGAAAAGAAGTGGATTATGCCTGAGTTTTCCCTTATGACTAGAATTTGGTCCGTTTTTTTTTCTAATTTGTTTGATTGTTTTGTTGTCTATCCCATGTGAGAAAAGGGGTAAAGATTTCTGAGGATGCCTTGGAGGAAAATGAAAACTTGCTATCATTCGATCTCTTATATAAATTATTAAATTAAGAATTATGCTAAGTGAAATAAGCCAGGAAGTGAAAGACAAATATATGAACTCACCTGTAAGTGGAACCTAATCAGCAAAACAAACAAACCTGATACATTGAACTAAAGAACAAACTAACAGTAACCAGAATTGGATGGAGAAGGATAATGACAGAAAATAGGGGAAGGTCTACCAAGGAATATGTGAAAAGGACACATGGACAAAGCCAAAGGGGATAGGTTTAAAGGTGGGAGGTGGGGAATGGTGGGGTGGAAGGCCATTATGAGGTGAAAATGGAGACAACTGTACTTGAAAAACAGTAAGAATGAATTAATGAAAGCCCACAATGTCCAAATTTGAGAGGCTGGGCTTCTTGGCACAGCTCTCAGAGCATACTTTAAGAACCATGAATCTAGTCAAACCCTCTCATTTATTTTCTACAAGTTACTGAGACTAATAAATATTTATGTGTTTCCTCAAGGTCACCAGTTAATTATTGGCATAGCAACTCATGTCCCAAAGAATCATAGTGATTTCCCACATCACATGTCCTGAAACATGTCAGGAATAAAGGAAGTTTCCTATGTGACATGGGTCTGAGCTAAGAATGTCTGGTCAGAATCCAAACCTGCCATAGACTCAAAAGATTTCTAATTCACTGATATTCAGAAAAACAGAACCTTAGAAATCATTTCAGAATTTGTTTCTGCTAGTGATTTAAAGGCACCTTTCTCTCCCACATACACACAAATAGGGACCTGCATGCACACTGCCACCTCCAGACCCCATCACCCTGAGGTCCAGGTGTGACTGTCTCTGCTCTGCCTGATAAGGAGGGGCCTAGGCTGGCTGTCTGGCAGACTTCCTCCTCCCGGCCAGAAACAGTTAATTGCCAGCTCCAGGCTGCCTGCCTCCAGCCCAGCCTTAATCGGCCTGATCTCAGGCTGCCACTAGAGCCACAGCAGTGTCTCAAAGTAGTGGGGACATTCTTCCAAGGTAATGATTAAGCTCAGTGCCTGGCAAGGGCACAGGCAACCAAGCCAAGAAGGTGAGCCCTATTCACACCTTGGCCAGGCTACAGTGGCCGGGACTGGTTTGGGAAGGCAGGGCCTCAGGGAATGAGGGCCCCAAGCTGGCAGCCACAGTCTCCTACTGCACACAGGTCTTATGAGAGCGTCTCAGGCCAGAGCCTCTGCTGACAGCTGTTCTGGGACCCTGCCCTTGCCCCAGCACCATGAAGCTACAGGTATTCTGGACTGGGCTGGAATACACCTGCAGGCTCCTGGGCATTACCACTGCAGCAGGTAAGACTCCACCTCCCTGCTGTAATTTCCTGCACACTAGGCAGAGCAGACAGGGCTTCCTGAGAGGTGGAAGCCATCTGACCAGGGGTGGGCTGAAACATCTAACCATATCTGCCCTTCATTTTCTTTCCCAAGACGCCCCAAAACAATGTTCTGCAGAGCAGCATCCAGTGCAAAGGAATCAAAGGGCCTGGTGTTAAATCTTTATTTGGCAACCTACCAACCTCCTTATCTTCTAAATGAGTGGGAGGATTTGCCCCATCTCCTGTGAGGTAGGGGCTGAAGGTTAATATGTAAAAGGCCAGATGCCTCACTGTAGAGTTATGAAAATGGTCAACAGGGTGCATCTGGTTTATTCAAGCCAAGCCCCTCTCATGGGAGAGAATTACCAGCACTCTGGCAGGCCGAGATAGGGGGCTGGTTATGAAGATCTTCATGCACTCTGTGATGCATGAAGATCTCCCTTAATGCACTGTGTGATGTACTGTGTGGTGGGGGCTTCCCTTAATCCACTGTGTGATTTGGGGAAATGGTTCCCTCTGCAGGGCTCCTCTCCCTTACTGGCCTGATCCCACAGCTGCTCTACTTGCCAGGAAAATAGATGGAGCAGAATCAGTGTGACTGCAATCCTGAGTGCTGCCTGCTTACTTCCCCAGTGCAAACCCTGACCCTGAGCTTTATGCCCCCCATATGGCCTGGATCTGTGTGGGGGAAGTGAGTAGGCAGCATTCTGAGCTCTTAGTTCTGGGCCACACTGTCCCTTGGGAACAAGGAGGAGACACCCACTATCCTCCAAGTAATTCTCCACTTTTGGAGAATGGGAAATGTCCCCCAGCTCAGACTCAAACAGTGTTGCTTCCAGCCCCAGCCTGTCCTTTGCCAATGTGTGAACTTGGAAGAGCCATCTGGGCCCTTTGGAGTTGAGCCATCTGGTCTGTACAATAGAGATAATTGGATCAGCTGGCCAGTTGTTTTGGAGAATCAAGAATGCATGAACAGATTATAGCTGGCTGAAACTGGGGATAAAAAACTCTTGGAAGAAGCTTGAGAGTGGGCTCTGCAGCATGTAGGCCCCGAGTTAGCACAGAAAGGGCATTTGAGATGATCTAATTCTGCCTTTCCTATTATAAGATGGAGCATCTGAGCTCAAATAAGGGAGTGACCTTAGCCAAGGTCACATTGCAGGTCAGAGGGACAGCCAACCTGGAGCCTGGGTCTCTTGACTTTCAAAAAGGCCAGGACCCTGACCAAAGAACTCTCTGCTTTACAGGGTAGGAAGTCACACCAAGCAGACACCAAGAAGGGTCTAGAATTGCTCTGCTGAGTGTTATTAAATGAGCTGGTGGGGGAGCCAGTTCCACATTCTGTCAAAAACACCTGTACCCTATGCTATGGGAATGACTGCCAATGCCCCCAACTGCCCATCCTAGGGAAGGAAAGTTAACCCTAAATAACTTTCTACATCTGGACTCAAGTTCTGGTCTACAACTGTTGATCTTAACTCCACCCTGCCTCCTCTAAGCCTTGGTTTCCAAATGTGGACGCACACCCCTTTCAGCTATCAGGTGTCACAATGAGTCTCCCTGCCACACTCTGCCCAGGGCCAACACTCTGCCTCCTGTCTAAAAACTATTTTAAGATGTATCTGTCCTTAATGGATTAGTTAAAAACAGTTTAAAAGTCTGATTTATCTCAGCCAGAGTAAAGGTCTGCAGCCATGTACATACCTGCACATGTGAGTGCTCCTCTTAACCACAACCCTTGTCTTTGTACAGAGGCTGGCTGTTACTGCAAAAGATGGGCCTCCAACTTGGTCTTAATATAGGATCTAGGCTAAAAATCAGCCATTAATTGCCTTCTATTGGCCAGGCTTTTCAATAATCTTGTTGGGGCTTTCTAAAGTGATGAGAGCAAGTGGGAAGCTGGAGAGAAAGGCTTTGGTGTTCTTGGGAATGAATTTTCTTCCAGTATCACTGAACTCCTGGCCTGTTTCCAGTGTATAAGATTTGCAAATTCTTTATCCCCTTAAGCCTCTTTTTAATGAAATTGCTGTTGCAAATTCCAGACTTTATTGGCAGGGTCATTGTTTTTAGAGAGGAAGTAAGACTTGAGACAGAGGCTCTCAGTTTGCAGAAATCAGAGACCTCTGGTAGCCTTTGGTCCTGCTGTGGGGAGGATTGTGGTTCTCAGAAGCTTGGAAAAGCATGTGACTCTACGTCATCCAGAGAGACACCTCCAGGAACCAGGCAGTTTCCATCAGCTGGCTTCATCCCCTATGCAGACAGGATCTGTGACTGTCAGAAGTTGCAAAGGTACAAAATCCCAGGGGACTCCACAGGGATGGAAAGACCCAGCAGCTTGGCTACAGTGTGCCCTGCACAGGTGCTGGCTGAGCTCATCACTCCCTCTTCACCCAGGCCCCTATGGATGAAGTTTCATTAGGATGCCAAGTGGTCCCACGGGCCATGCTGCCCCAACCCTCATCCAGCCCCATACCACAGAGTGGACACAGACAGAACATTACTACCAACAAATGAGAGTACACAGGCCATGGATGGACTGCTCCCAACCAGAAGTGTTTCAAAAATTAGAAAATTCTCTTCCTTTGTATCAATCATAAGGTTTATAGGCCAACACAAACCCACTCTTCTCTACTGGTCTTATACTTAGCTAGCTTCACTCATTTGCAAGACCTCCCTGGCTGAGAAGGCCCTGTATGTATGACCTCTCAGAGCCTGTTAAGCAGAAGGAGGATGCACTAGGAACTGCACACAGGTTGTGAGCACACTGAATTTCCTGTGCAGATGCTGTACATCTACTTGTTTGTCCCTCAGAGCAGGTCCTCACTGTGTCTACCTGAGAGAAGGGCTAGGACAACCTGAGTTAGAAAAGGCTCCAGGGGAGCCTGTATCATGCAACCTGTTCTCTTTGCAGAATAACCATCAAGAAAGGGAACCTGGGAAAGGAGGTTTTTCTTTTTTACTTTTTTAAAATTGTTGTTCAAGTACAGTTGTCTCCATTCTGCCCCTAACTGCCCTGCGCCACAGCCATCCCCACTTCCCACCCTTGATCCTATCTCCATTTGGTTCTGTCAATGTTCCTGAAAATCTGGGAAAAGGTGTTTTAAATGAGATAGGAGCACAGCAACCTGGAGCATCCCTTCCCTATAGAAAGGGCAAAGAGCTGGGCATGGGGGTTGCTTCTTATTCCTGCTCTGGGAAAGCAGAGTAGTTTCCCTTTGAATTCCTGCAGTCTTCTCTAGCCCTGAAGGTGAATCTCCATGAATTTACTCACCACTTTTCAGCCCTGCCCCAAGCTTGCAAGAAATGTAATAGGAAGTGTTCCCTGTGTCAGGGCAGATATTGTACCTTGAAGGCCCCAGACTTGGGTGGGTGTGGAGAAAAGAGAGGGGAGACTAATTTTCTCAGGCCCTTTCCTCACAGCTGCATCCTTGTACATGATGGGCTTGGGCTTTCCCAAAAGAGGAGGTGCTGAGAAAATGTCTATGCACTCTTGGCTGAGGCCTCCCAACTTTCCTCAGAGAAAAGTGGTTCAAGCGTGAAGCTCTTTGCTGCCAGCACTCAAGGGCATTTTTTGCTGTTCTAGCTTCTACTCTGGGTGTAATAGCTGACAATGAACATTATTATTCATGTATTTACTGTGGGCCAAACTCTGTGATACATGGTTTAAATATAGTGTCTCATTTCATCCTCATAACTACCCTTTGGAGCACTGCTATGTTCATCCTCATCCTCATTATATGTAGGGAAAACTGAGCCTTAGTGAGATAGAGCAATTTGCTCTATTTCTAACAACCAAAAAGAGGGGAGGCAAGATTTGGACTAATGGTGGTCCACTCCTAAGATTCAATTCTTAATCAATGTGTTCTTTGCCCTAATCAATCTAAAGGGGCACTTTTTTCCAGATCTTGGTGATCCCGGGATTTAGGATGCAAAACACACAGAGTGTACCAGTGAGGTCTAAGACCACCCATCATTCTTCCATAGTACCCTGCCATCAGTCAGTTCTGACAGGCAGAGGGACCATGGTGAGGATGGACATAGTAACAATGGAGCATAGTCAAGAATGACCAAACACTTCTTAAATCTAAAGACACTGACATATACAGCCACTCATTCTGTCTCTGAGTGATTACATGATTTGACTGGTGCTACTATTACTATCTGCCAGACCCACTCCTGGACCTCACCCAGTGACAAATCTGTACACATCTCCAGAGAGAACTATCACAGTAGCACCTTCATTTATGGATACAGCATTGCATACCTGACAATATACTATAAAGTCATTATCTTGCTGAAGTCCCACCAATGTCTATGAGGGCCAATGTCTGGGATCACTTAGGAATTTGTCTCTTTTTTCCTAGGTTTTGACCCATTAACCTCTCCTCTACACTAAGGACAGGGCCATACTCCTGCCACACTCCATTTGAAATGGTGGCTTATAAATATAGACTAGGGCAAAAGAAGCATTTAAACCCAAATGTTCTCATTATTTTTTAAAGAATACGGCAAATGTGTATTTAACCTTAACCCTATTCAAAGCCTTCAGAAACAAAATAATGTTTCCAAAGCAACCACCCTGCACTCTCTATTCTAATTTTCATCCTTCCTAAATGTATACCCCTGTGACCACCTCTTGCTCCTACCATGTAAGGAATCTTCATGCACTCCAACACATCAATGGGTGGAGTTATTAACCACTTTGTTTTCAGATCCTCCATAAATGCTTACCATCTTCTTTTCCCAATCTGTTTGTCTCAGTGTGTAAATGAAATATCCTTCCCTCTGGCCCACTCCCATACCACTGAAAAATAAGCATTTTTCTTTATTTCTTTGTACTTGTGCCCTCCTTCTTAGATTAAGAACAAGAAGCCTAGAACTCCACTTAGGATTTATTTACTCATCAAATATTTGCAGTTTCCACTTTATGCAATGTAGACACATATATTAGAATGGTATGACCTCCATCTAGAGAAG